TTCTCTTTCTTTTTTCCTTTTCTTGAGGTTCTTTGTTGCTCTTGGAAGATAAGCGTGTTTGTCTTCCTTTTGTAAATCTTCTATTGATGAATTAATGAAAGTGTTATTGATCAAAAAAAAAATGTCAAGCATATCAATTGAGCAAACAATGTAGAACAACATTTCATTCAAGTAATAAAAGATCATGTTTCCCTTTCCATATTGTGTATTTTGATGTATGGGGGCCTACTACTATAACCTCTGAGGGTGGGTATAAGTACTTTATCACATTGATTGATGATTTCTCCCGCTATACATGTGTATTTCCCATGCATAATAGAGACAAAGTTCCAAAGATTGTGAAAGACTTCCAAAGGATGGTGTTTACTTAGTTTCATGTTGAAATCCATATTTTTTAATCCAATAGTGCAAAGGAATATTTCCATGGTGAACTCAATGAGTTCTTTGCCTCCCATGGATCCATTCATAGGAGTCATGTGCAAGAACACCACAATAAAATGGTGTTGCAAAAAGAAAGAACAGACACCTCCTTAAGGTAGCACGAGAGATGATGTTACACATGAATGTACCCAAAAGATTTTGGATGGATGCTATACTTGTAGCTGCTTATGTCATCAATCGCACGCCCTCTAGAGGTTGAATTACATGGCCCCTCATCAGTTGTTGTTCCCTCAATCTCCTTTATTTTACATTCACATGAGAGTATTTGGTTGTCGTGCCTTTGTCCATGATTTGTCTCCGTCTCGTGGTAAGTTAGACCCTCAGTCTATTCCATGCATCTTTCTGGGGTATCCCTACTCTCAAAAGGATTACCGCTRCTTCGATCCTATTAGTCATAAGTTTTTCGTCTCTATGGATGTTTCCTTCTTTGAGTTTGAACCATTCTTCCCTATTTCTCCTCAAAGGGAGAGTAGCATGGAAGAGGAGAAGCAGGTCCAGGTATGTCAAGTTCCTTCTATTCTAGACCTTGCCCCCTTCCGTGTCTTCCAACGTAAACGCCATAGAGATCAGCAATCTGACAAAGGTGTGAAGCTACCAAACATTGAGCAACCAACACCTTCAAACTCCCAAGAGTTAAGTCCAAATGAACTAGGCCCTGTTGCACCTATTAATACCCCTGCTCCTATTTTGGATGACCTTGATATTCCTATTGCTCAAAGAAAGGGAGTCAGGTCATGCACTACCAAACACCCCATTACCCGATATGTCTCTTATGGTTGCATTTCCCCCTCGTACTGAGCCTTCCTATCTGCAATTGATTGCATCCCTATACCCAGAAATGTTGCAAAAGCCTTAAAATACCATGAATGGTAGATGCTATGGAGGAGGAGATTAATGCCCTCCATAAAAATCAAACTTCGGAGTTAGTGGATCTTCCAAGGGGGAAAGACCTRGTGGGGTGTAAGTGGGTGTTTACAGTTAAACACAAGGCAGACGAGACAGTTGAAAGGTACAAAGCAAGATTGGTGGCAAAAGGGTACACTCAAGTCTATAGGGTTGACTATGATGAGACGTTTGCTCCAATAGCTAAGATGAACTCAATTCGAGTTCTTCTATCATTGACTGCTAACATTGACTAGGAATTGCATYAACTGGACATAAAGAATGCCTTTTTAAATGATGACCTAGCGGAGGAGGTGTACATGGTCCAACCCCTAGGATTTTGTGCCAAAGGAAGTGAAAACAAGGTGTGCAAGCTGAGAAAGTCTCCTTATGCTTTAAAACAATCTCCCAAGGCTTGGTTCAGTAAGTTTCATATGGCAGTCCAGCAAGTAGGATTCAAGCAATGTCAGTCTGATCACAATCTCTTTGTGAAAAGATGTCAGGAATAGGTTGTTGTGTTGATAGTGTATGTGGATGATATCATCATTACAGGAAATTGGAGCTCAGAAATACAAAAGTTGAAACAATTCCTAGCATCTCAATTTGAAGTAAAAGATCTAAGTCCACTAAAGTATTTTCTTGAAATTGAGGCTGCCCACTCAAAAAGGGGCATCTTCATTTCCTAGAGGAAGTACACCCTTGATCCGTTACAAGACACAAGCAAGTTAGGTGCAAGGCCAGCAGATAGTCAGATACTCCCATGGATGTTGATCATAAATTGGGTGATTGCGATGGTGAACATCTAAAAGATGTGAAACAGTTCCAAAAGGTTAGTGGGAAGGTTGCTTTATTTGTCCATGACCCATCTAGACATTGCTTATTCAATTGGGGTCCTAAGCCAATTCATGCATTCCCCTAAGTGAACCAAAGTGCAAATTTACCTTGAACCGGGATTTACACTCCATTTGCATCGCTTCCAAACACAGCCTAAGGGAAAAATTGGAGAAAGGGGAAATTTGCACTCCTTATGTCAACTCCAAGGAGCAACTTGCTAATGTCCTCACAAAAGGGCTTCCATACTCGCAGCACAATGAGTTGTGTGACAAGTTGGGAATGATAGACATGTTCAGCCCAACTTGAGGGGGAGTGTTGTTAGTGGTATTCACTTATTTTTTATATTTGTTATTAGTGTGATGTCAGCCTAGGATGCTATTGGCTTGTTCTTTTCTTCTTTTAAATTAGTTTATTATTAGGGTGTGCCGCCAAGGGTATAAATGTAATCTTCTACTTATTTTATGTTAAGTTATTATAAATAAGAAGTTGGGCGCCGCCAACAATACTTTTTAACTCTCAAACCTTTCTCCCTCTCTCTTCTTCTCTTCCTCTTTTTTCTCCTCTCTTCTCTCGTTCCTCTCTCTTCTAGAAGGAAAATAGAATCAACATTAAGATATGTTTCCTATACAATTTGGCCTTCGTAACCTACAGAATCCAAACATTACATCAAAGTTGAAAAGCTGGTTATTTGAGTTCTAAACTAATGTTGAGAGTAGGCAATAAAGGAAAGCACAAACGAGAAAGAACTATATTGAGTCACTTTCCCTTTTCTTCAGAAAGTAATTGATTTATATTGCATATCAAAAGTTGAACCATAGTTTACAATGTCCATAAATTTCCTAATATTTCTATAACATATTTCCATTTCCATGGGCACCAATGCGACATTTTACTAGAATCGACATATTCCCCAATAAACACCACTGGCATTAATGTGGAATACAAGAGATAGTATTATAACATAAGTTGGTGGCAATATTGTAGATATGTAGAATAGCAATTTTATTGCCTGCCTAATGGACACAAGTACCACTTTGAGCCAGCTTAATATTCTTTTCAAACATGAAGCTAAATATAAGTTTGTGTTTGTGCAATAAATTACTTGGTTGATCTATTAGGAACATTTGGATTTTCAATGAGTTTAAATATTGCTTGAACTCATTTATTTGATCATTTAGTTTTGACTCAAGGTTTACGGGACAACTTCAAAATGTATTCTTTTTTGGATAATTTTTTTTGATAAATCAAAATGTATTATTTCCTCTATAACCTTAGTTTCTTATATTTGTTTAATGATTTAAAAAATATCCCTACACTCCTTTTATAATTCATAGAATATCATTCTATAATTTTGCAATATTTCCACCATGTCTATAATTTTTACAATATTTCTTACATTTCCAACATGTTGCCAATATTTGGATGACCAACATTTCCACTGACATTGACATTTTAAACCTTGAGCTGAATGACATGAGAGGATGTACAACGGCCATCACTACAAATTAAAAAAAAAAAAAAAACAACTCCCTGTCCTTGTATTAACAAGATAATCAACTGTGAAAACAAGTTTTCCTATGTTTTCCAAGAATTTAATCTTATCCAAACTGTCAAGTCCAAAAGGAGATAGAAGCAGATTACTTGAACGTAAGAATATAACCAAGTTGATTTTGCAATTTGAAATGGAATTGGACTTCTCACCTTCACAAATCTTTCTTGGTGCTTCTTTTGTAAGAAATATTGAGTGATGGGGGTTAATCTTGCCTTTTTATTCTTTGGGAGCACTGCTTTATCATAGATCTCTTGTACTTATTTTTCATATTCTTTATTTCTAAGGAGAGAATTATCATATATATAGATAATCAGTTTTATGGGTGATGTCATCACTTTGACACACCTGTACAACCCTAGTGTCCTGTTCGATCTATTCTCTGGCATGGTATCATAGCAGGTTGCTAGGTTGTGATGGAATCAAGCTTGGAATCTCTGCTGGACAACAATCAGCCAAGGTATGTTAAAAGAGTTCTCAACACTATATTCTCTCTGTATTTTTGGAGAAAGAAGCAATCTTTCTATTCGATTCTTGAGCTCTTCAACTCTCTGAAACTGTGGTTCAGATCTGACTTTTCTGCATATTTCTCCTTCTTCATGTGGTCTAATCTCTTCAAGACCATAAGGTTTGAATCGTCTAAGTCCTTCTCTTCTGCAGGATATCTCTTTTATAGGGTCCAATCGGATCTGCTAGTTTCCTTTATTGTATCTAATCAGATCTGATCTGCTAGGGTTTTGATCCCTTTTCTCAGTCATTATAAGTGGTGGCACATGATTGTTGATTTAATATAACAGGTCCAGTGTCCACATTGTAATAAACTTCTACAAACATGTGAAAGTCTGAAGTCACAGCTAGTACACATCCTTAAAAACAAGGCCATGGAAAACAACATGATTATTTTATGCACCGCATTCATCATGGGAAAGAGAAATAAGTTGTAGCATCATAGTTTCGAGAAAAGGTGAACACCTGTCATTTAAGTTGAATTGTTTCTAGACACTACAACACAACAATTCAATAATACTTTTATCAGGCAATTGAACATTCAATTAATAAGGCTATGTTCCTAAGCCTTCTGATAGATAAACAACTAGAAAGGTTCCACATTTCCCAACCAGAGACCATATTATACTGCTGCTTTAAGGGAATGACCTCCTTCTGCCAATAACTAAAACATGTAACCAACACAATCTATTCATTTCCATAAAATAAATGTTCATATAGTGTAATGCAGGTTATCTGCACCCGCATGAGGTGGGAAGTAGGAAAGAGAACGAAATAATATAATTACCTAAGCATGGTATGATAATCGTCATAATGAACCGGAAGCAGATCTCTTTTGAGCAGGGCCCGGCGAAATGCATTTACTGCTTCTTCCTCCTCTGCATCTCGAAAATCTTCTATCGAAACAGAAGTATATCGGCAGTCACCTACCCGTCTTCCCCGCCTCCTAAGAGTATGAGTAAACCTGGTCGAAGCATGCATTGCCTTCTTCTTGAGAGATCCGATCCGAGTTCTTCTCCTCTCATCCTCGGAGGTCTCAATATCAGATTTCCTTGCTCTTTCATCTTCTTGAACTGAAAGCCCTCCTAAAACCAACCAGTTGCACACCATGGTAAATAGACAATTAACAAACATTTTCCACTCAATTCTATCCGAAACTCCTCTAATTCAAACTCAAATTACCTGGCATTGTGTCCTTTACACATAGAAATCAATCCGAACACTCGGATATCTGCATCAAGAAAAATAAATCACTCAAAATCTGAAAGAAACTCAACAAAATTCACCAGAATTTTGGACTAAACAGATTACAAAAGGCAAAAATCAGTTGAAATCCCAGAAAAGAAAACAAAGAAAAAGAGAAAAATCCATCAAACAGAAACCGAATTCCCCAAAGAATCAGCTTCATTCGCTCAAGCTAGCATCCCAGATGTACAATAACACAAAAAATAAAGATCCAGAATTCGAGATCAGAAAACGGGAACACATCATAAGTTCTCACATTTAAATACAATTCGGAATCCAAAATTTTCCATAGATGGATGGAGATCGAATCGTACCTTGGAATGGATCAAACCGAAGAAGGATCAAGGTAGTAGTACGAATTGCAAAACGGAAAATTACGCTCGTCTCTCTCAGATCTCGACGGAGAGATCGATCTCTCCTCTTCCCCCAATCGGTGAACAGTTCAACATTTAGGAAGTGTTTTTAAAGTGTATGTAGCTCGCTGGTTGCTTTTTTGTTACGAGGTCAGGTCTCTCTCAATTCTCAAAAAGGAGAGAGCGAGCGAGCGAGCGAGCGTGGCGTACAACGGCCGCATTACAGGGACAGAGACGGCGCCGTGAGTTCAGCCTTTATGCCTTGGTGGACTGTTCACTCTGGTAAAACTCCGTTAGTTAACGAAATGGAGACCGCAGAGCGGACAGGTTCACGCTCTTGACTCGCTGCCCGTGAATGTTTTTTATTTTTGGCACAACACTGGATTTCTTTTGGGTAGAAAGGAGTCCGGCTTGGTCAGGGCAAGCACCGATTTGCCCGACAGAAGCCGAACTCGGTTGAAAAGGCACACCACTGGGATGGTCAGAGATAAAGCCACTAGGCCCACCACCACTAGATTAGGGCTGCGAGTCGGATTGCCCCGAGTTAATAGTTTACACTGTTTTGGGCTCAGGCTTTCAGTTGGGCCTATTGAAATTTTGATAAATTTTCATCTCTAACCTAAAAAAATTGCACCCTTACACTAGGGGTGATCATGGGCCGGGTCCGGGCTGAGCTTTACACTTAAGGGCTATACATTAGGCTTGGGCCCAGCCCGGTCTAGGTTCCGGGCCTGAAACATAAGCCTTAGCACGGGCCCGGGCCAGGCCAGGTCTGATTTTGGGTCAATATCTTCATATATAAAATATTACATATCTATAATATTTTATATTAAATGACATAATATGCATATAAATTTATTTTATACATTATATAATATAAAATACTATATATAATATAAATTATACATGTCATGTTATAATATTTATATATAATATATAATGTAATGTAAAATAACATATATATATATATATATATATATATATA